ATCTCGCTTTCATCTCGCTTTCATCTCGCTTTCATCTCGCTTTCATCTCGGGCCATCTCGGGCCATCTCGGGCCATCCGAGGGCGGGTGAGCTGCACGGTGAGAATAAGAAGACGAGTCATGATGACACAGGCAGGGGCTCTGCGATACCGCCGAGTCCTCGCCCTCCGACGAGGGAAGCGGCGAGGGGAAGGCGGAGGAGCTGGGGTTGAGCCGTTCTCGGCCGAGAGATGCCGAGAGATGATGGCGAGAGGATGGGCGAGAGTAGGCGGAGCGCCAGCTGGGCGTGCGCGTCTGCGCGGCGCTGCTGCTGCGGGCGCGCGCAGAGGGCCTCTCGCTGACAACCCTCTCTCTCTCTCTCTCTCTCTCTCTCTCTCTCTCTCTCTCTCTCTCTCTCTCTCTCTCTCTCTCTCTCTCTCTCTCTCTCTCTCTCTCTCTCTCTCTCTCTCTCTCTCTCTCTCTCTCTCTCTCTCTCTCTCTCTCTCTCTCTCTCTCTCTCTCCAACCCTCTCTCTCCCGGCCCCGCGGCAGCCGCGCGCCGCCGTGACCGCCTCCGCGCCCCGCGGCTCAGGTTCATGACCTTCGGCCTCGACCAGTTCCCCTTCGGCATGGCCCTCCGGCTGCTCGACCTGCTCTTCTACGAGCGGACAGTGATGCCCCTCTTCCGCCTCGCGCTCGCGCTGCTCAAAAAGCGCCAGCGCGCCCTCCTCGCGATCCGAGACTCGACCGAGATGATGACGGCGCTGCGCAGGCTGCCACTCTCCATCAGCGACGACAAAATCGAGGCCTTCTTCTCGCGCGACGTGGCGGCGCAGAAGCCAAAGCTCAGCCGGCCCCACATCCTCTCGCCTCCGGCGGTCGCCGGCAACGGCGGCGCGGACCCCTTTCCCGCACAGGCCTGATGCCCCGGGAGTGGGCTAGGCCGAGGGTTTGGCAGAGCGGACAGGGCGAGGGGGCGCGTCCCGCTGCGGCGAGCTGGCGAGAGGAGCGCGGGCCGGCGCGGCCGAGATGCCACGGCGAACCTGCGGCCACGTCTCTGCGCGGAGCTTTGAAAGAGGTAGTGGTCTTGAGACCTGAGACGGCGCGGACGCAAAACCGAAACGCAAGACAAAAGGTAGCCGGAAGACGATTTTTCTCGGGGTTGGCCTTGCCCTTGGGCATAGGACGTCGACCGCCTCCACTGTGAACCACTTTTGATGCCAGGGCGGGAAGAGCACAATGCTCAGGGTGGGACAAAACACCGACAGACGAGAGAAGAGGCCACAAAACAGACAAGCAGAATGGCAGGAGAGAGAGGCTCTGCAGGCGAGCCGCCCCTGGGCTCTCGCGTCTCTCTCTCTCGATTCGACCCCTGCTTTCGACCGATCAAAAGCAGGTCGAATCGCATCACAAATGTGGGAAGCCAAAAACCTCCCTTGGCTTCCCACACAAACCCCCCTTCATGGGTGGGGGGAGCAGCAAATGAGGTAGTCTCTGCAAAATCACTGTCCCAGTGAATTCGCCCTAGACGCCTCCGTGTGGACTCGCAGCTCCGGCTGGATGTCGGCGACCTAAAGCTCGGCGGTCGTCGCTTCGCGCCGGCCGACTCCCTATAGGACGTCGACCGCCTCCACTGTGAACCACTTTTGATGCCTAATCTCAAAGTATAGCCAGGGGGGATACCCGTAGCCCCCAAAGTGAACTGCCTGATCGACTCCCCGGCACACGGCGGAGGAGGAGGAAGACAGCACAACCCCATCGCCAATCCTGTCGAGGTCGATCCACCGTCTCGCGCGTGAATCGGCCGAGACCTCTCCCTCGAGACGAGGGCCCACCCTTGTGTCGAGTGCCCCTCCAATAGCTCAGTAGAAGCGCGACGTGTACGGCCATGACCATCACCATCGTAGGTCCTTGCACTGCGACTGCGCCGCCGGCCAAGCTCCAGTGCGGTTGACCCCCATCGAGGGACTGCCCGGCGATAGGGCTGTCGCCTCGTCCATGCCGCTGACCGCGCCCAGCAGCGGGTGCTCGCCGCTGTCCACGGACGCGGCTCGTCAGGCGGCGCACTGCCGCCGGCTGCAGCGACGGCTGCCCTGGCCGTCGCGTCCTCGAGAGAGGCGAGCGAGCCGGCAGCAGAGCCCGCATGGCCCTCACCGCCACAGCCGCTCTGCCTGCTGACCTCGCTCTCGCCGCCGCCTGCAGCGGCGCCTCCGCGGCTCCGAGAGGACCCGGCCCGCGGCCGCGCCTCGCCGAGCGCCTCGTCGACGCCCTCGGCGACGCCTCCTCGCGTCGCGTGCCCGTGAGCGGCGACCGCACCGCCGGCAGAGCTCGAGTGGCCCTCCACGCCACCCCGAGACTGCCCGGCGATGATGCCTCCGCCGCCGCGCGTTGCCGCCGCTGCCTCGCAGCGGCTGTGTGCCTCGGCGCCGAGCCGAGACATGTCAGGCGGCGTGCTGCCGCCCACTGAGACGAGGCCCGTCCCCTCGTCGCGCACCGCGTCGCTCGCGCCTCCGCCAAAGCGATCTCGATTACGCTTTGCGGCGACGGCGCCATCGACGCCAACTTGCGCCGCCGCTCTCGCCCGGCAGCGGGTGCTCGCCGCTGTCCACGGACGCGGCTCGTCAGGCGGCGCACTGCCGCCGGCTGCAGCGACGGCTGTCCCGGCCGTCGCGTCCTCGAGAGAGGCGAGCGAGCCGGCAGCAGAGCCCGCATGGCCCTCACCGCCACAGCCGCTCTGCCTGCTGACCTCGCTCTCGCCGCCGCCTGCAGCGGCGCCTCCGCGGCATCGAGAGGACCCGGCCCGCGGCCCCGCTTCACCGAGCGCCTCGTCGACACCCTCGGCGACGCCTCCTCGCGTCGCGTGCCCGTGCGTGGCGACCGCACCGCCGGCAGAGCTCGAGTGGCCCTCCACGCCACCCCGAGACTGCCCGGCGATGGTGCCTCCGCCGCCGCGCGTTGCCGCCGCTGCCTCGCAGCGGCTGTGTGCCTCGGCGCCGAGCCGAGACATGTCAGGCGGCCCGCCGCCGGCCACCGAGACGAGGCCCGTCCCCTCGTCGTGCACCGCGTCGCTCGCGCCTCCGCCAAAGCGATCTCGATCACGCTTTGCGGCGACGGCGCCATCGACGCCAACTCGCGCCGCTGCTCTCGCCCAGCAGCGGGTGCTCGCCGCTGTCCACGGACGCGGCTCGTCAGGCGGCGCACTGCCGCCCGCTGCAGCGACGGCTACCCCGGCCGTCGCGTCCTCGAGAGAGGCGAGCGAGCCGGCAGCAGAGCCCGCATGGCCCTCACCGCCACAGCCGCTCTGCCTGCTGACCTCGCTCTCGCCGCCGCCGCCTGCAGCGGCGCCTCCGCGGCTCCGAGAGGACCCGGCCCGCGGCCGCGCCTCGCCGAGCGCCTCGTCGACGCCCTCGGCGACGCCTCCTCGCGTCGCGTGCCCGTGAGCGGCGACCGCACCGCCGGCAGAGCTCGAGTGGCCCTCCACGCCACCCCGAGACTGCCCGGCGATGGTGCCTCCGCCGCCACGCCTTGCCGCCGCTGCCTCGCAGCGGCTGTGTGCCTCGGCGCCGAGCCGAGACATGCCAGGCGGCGTGCTGCCATCCACCGAGACGAGGCCCGTCCCCTCGTCGTGCACCGCGTCGCTCGCGCCTCCCACTGACGCGGCTCGTCAGGCGGCGCACTGCCACCGGCTACAGCGACGGCTACCCCGGCCGTCGCGTCCTCGAGAGAGGCGAGCGAGCCGGCAGCAGAGCCCGCATGGCCCTCACCGCCACAGCCGCTCTGCCTGCTGACCTCGCTCTCGCCGCCGCCGCCTGCAGCGGCGCCTCCGCGGCTCCGAGAGGACCCGGCCCGCGGCCCCGCCTCGCCGAGCGCCTCGTCGACGCCCTCGGCGACGCCTCCTCGCGTCGCGTGCCCGTGCGTGGCGACCGCACCGCCGGCAGAGCTCGAGTGGCCCTCCACGCCACCCCGAGACCGCCCGGCGATCGTGCCTCCGCCGCCACGCCTTGCCGCCGCTGCCTCGCAGCGGCTGTGTGCCTCGGCGCCGAGCCGAGACATGCCAGGCGGCGTGCTGTCGCCCCAGCAAATCCTGTCGTGCGCAGCGTCAAAACTAATTTGAGCATGCATTGGCTCTGCATCCACATCGCAGTCGCTCCAACCACTGCCAGCTCCCTTGACGCTGCTCCGTACTGCAGCGATCTCCTTGAGAGATGCGCTAAGGCCATGCGTTGCGGCCTCTTTACCGTCAGCGTGTTCCAGCCTACCAGACTCACGTATCGGAACCACTTCCCGACGACGAATATGGTTGACGCTCGAACACGTTGCTGTTGCTTCTGGAGGTGGCCTTCCACCCCCGCGCCAACCCCTCCCAACCCCAACAAAACACCGACAGACGAGAGAAGAGGCCACAAAACAGACAAGCAGAATGGCACAGTACGGCTTTACGACGGACATACCATCGTACAACAGAGAGAGGCCCTAACCTGTCGTCCTGCCAACACGCCCTCGATCTGTTCCGTCCCGAGACCGTCATCTCTTACGACATTCTTTACGACATATCTCACATCATCGTCAACCCGTACACCGCTCAACTCTGCGTCGCCGCCTTCAGCTCCAGACCAGCCATCACCCTCGCCACGTTACTACCTGGGGTCTGGGCCGCCGGCAACGGGAAGAAGAAGAAGGAGCCGCCCGTCTATGCTCTTTATATCCCTCGACTCGGACGCGGCATCTTCAGCTGCTGGGATCTCTGCGCTGCACATGGGGCAATCGGCGGCAGCGGAGCGATCCACAAAAAGTACGGTGAAGACAATGGGGGCGTCCCGGCAGCGCTTCAACACATCAACCTACACGTGCCGCTCCCTGCCGGCTTCCCGATTGCACTTGACCACTGGTACCCCTTCAACAGCGATCCCGTGCCAGCGACCGAAGCGGCGGCAGCCAACCCCACCCTCCTCACGCCCGGTGCCCTCGGTACCGCCACCGCCGACGCCACCGCCACCGCCACCGCAGCCGCCACCGCAGCCGCAGCCACGCCCCCCACCGCGCCTCCCTCTGTCGAGATGAAGCTCCGCGACGACGCCCGTGGACTGCACGCGCAGGGAGAGGCGCACGAGCTCCCGCACGGCAAGCGACTTCTCGGCATGCGCCGCCTGACGCCTGTCGGCATCCCATTCTTGCAAGCAAGCCACATTTCTACCGACGACCGCGTATTTGGTCGCGGAGAGGACGTTTTGGTACGTTTTGGCACCAGCTGAAGGCTTGCACGGACAAGAGCCCGTTGAGCACTTGAGCACTGGATAGGGCCGATTCCGCAATGATGAGGTCGATGTTGCACTTGGGCCGCCTCTCGCGCTGCGCGTTGCGCTCCTCTTCCGCCTGCAGCTCTTTCACCGCTCCCGTGAGGAAGGGCTCGAGATCGTACTGCCGCACCGCCTCGCACGCGTCGATCTCTTTGCCGATGAGCCGCGCGTCCGCGAGCGGCATGTTGCGCTCACGTGCGACGCGTTTGAGTGTCTCGATGAAGACGTCGGGCTGGAAGCTGCCGTGATGCGGCGGCTCGCAGTGGACGATTGCGAAGCCTGAGCACTTGCCGCCGCGTTGGAAGGCCGTTGACCTCAGGTTCCAAGCGCCGTTGCGGATGTCACGGCCTTCGAGCTCGAGTCTCGGGCTGGCGCGCGTACTCCAGCGCGGCCTGCTCCGGCGTGGACGTTGAAGCCATTGCGCGACACTGTCGCCGTGTACGGCCTCGCGCCTTGACCTTGCTGACACCCTTGAAGCCGGACGCGGTTTTCTTCGACCGCAGCAGCGTGAGGCCCTCCTCCTGGGCCGCGCCGCGTGAGCCTGCTCGGCTGTGAGCTCGATGTATCCAGCCGACGTCGGCGTGCCGGTGCGCAAGAGCCGCGGAGAGACGGCGGCACGCTTCACTGCTGGCACGCAAGCCGACCGCGCAGCAATTCCCGCGTCTTTTTTTGAGCTTGGCGGACACAGTAGGGTCTAGGCGGACACACTAGCGACGTATCGCTCTCGGGCCCACAGACATCCCGCACACCCGCCGCCCCCGCGCGCGCCCCGCCCCGCCCCGGCCGGGCGGGAGAAAGGGGAGTGCCAGTTTCATTGGGATGGCAACAGAACGAGTACCTTGCACTCTGGCGAGGGGGCGCTGGCGCGTGGCGGAGTCGTGGCCGGCAGAAGGGCGAGGTCGCCGTGCCTGTGTTTGGGGCTAACACGCCCGAGGGGCGTGTACGCTAGCGCGGTCGTTTACGGTGGCAACGGAGTGTGGCGCCACAACGACGGTGTCGGTGGACTCCCCGGCGGTGCCGGCGGCGGGGCGCCCCCCGCCCGCCGCCCCCGCGCCCCCGGCACATCGCACAAAGCTCTCATAAAGGGCCGGGCCAATCGCGAATCGGCCAGACCGGTCGGGATCGGATGAGGAACCCAAAGCGAAAATAGTCGTTAGCCCTGTACCTAAGGTAAGCGCCGGTCTCACAATTCCGCTTTCGGCTCATCAGCGGCATTCGCGAGATTGGCCGCGTACTCCTGCGACGCCGGCATGAGTCGCAGCGCCTCCTCGAACGCGGCCCTCGCCTCCGCTCTTCGACCGGGGATCGCCATGCGCACCAGGCCGAGCGCGTTCCAGCCTTTGGGCGCCGCCGGCCGCAGCTCGGCGGCGGCGCGAAAGTGGCGCTCCGCCCCCTCAAAGTCGCCGAGCGCGTGCAGCGCACTGCCCAAGTTGTGCGACGCGGCGTGGTAGCCCTGCGACCGCAACGCCAGCGCCGCCTCGAATGCGCCCACCGCCTCGGTGTGCTTGCCGTGCTTGAGCAGGGCGTCGCCAAAGTGCAGCTGGCCGGCCGCATAGTCAGAAGCCGCGATGCGCCTTGACGTAGCCGTGTTTCTGTTTTGTGCCGAGCGTTGTTGTGACGTTGGCCGCGTGCTCAGCGTAGCGAAAGATGGCGGAGGCTGATGGCAATGACGACGCGGCGGAGGACATGGAGTCTGTGGCCACAGAGCGCGTGGCGATGAGCGTGGCGTGGAGCCCCGCTCGAAACGGCGGTCAGCGCGCACAGTGAGCCGCCGTCGCAGATCTGCAACCAACTTCTTCACAGCCTTGTTATGAGAAGAAAATAGGTCCTTTGCCGCTGTGCGCTGGTCTGTGAGAGGTTGAGGTGCGAGCCCTGGAGGCCCTGGGGATGGGGGGAGTTCACACAGGGGCTCTAACAGCACACTGAGGGCCCAACTTGAGAATCGTGCTGTGGAGTGAGTGGGGTTGTTTGGTGTTGGGTTGATAACAAGCACGGTCGATCCGTCGAAGCGATACACTCGTTCCTGTCACGTTGGACGGCTTGCACGGAGCTCAACAGGAAGAGCCGTGCTGCAAGAAGAGCTCGATGGGGAGCGAGAACCGTCAGAGGTGCTCACCCAGGTTTGTGATTCGGAAGTCCACCCTGATGCGGTCAGTTCCCCCCAGGTTTGACCGCGCAGCTCGCAAGACTCGTCGAGCACTCGCAGCCTCTCTGCGCCTCTCATGCTGCCGCGGCGCCTGCGGGAAGTTCAGTCTTTCCGGAAGATATCGTCGAGTTTTGAAAGCTGCGCGGTCAAACCTGGGGGGAAATAAGAGCGTCCATCGCCGCAACACTCAACGCCACGGCGCTTCAGTGCTCACACAAATTACTCCCGCAGAGTACATGCGGCAACTATGGGCCGTTCCGGTTCTGGTCGGGCGAAGCAATATCCTACCGCGATGCGCTCGTCAAGGAGGGCAAGCGCGCGTACGCAGGCTGCACCGAAGCCAAGGGCGGTGGTGCGGAGGCGCGTAAGGGGTGCAACGCTCTGCGTACGTGCATGGGCAAGTGCCCGTGGCTCTATGACTCGATAATGATCTTCACTCGCGCCGCAGTCGACGGGAGCAACTTGGCCGCTGCTCCACCTCAGCCCACGGCGCATGAGGTGCAGGAGAGGTTGCGCGCCGGGTTCGACATGGAGCGGCGGCGCCTCGACGAGCTGCTAGAGGGCGTCGCCGCCCTGAAGCAGCGGCTGCTGACGCAGGCGGCGGCGCGGGCCAGGCGGAACCGGGCGGTTGGCGTAGCCGAGCAGCAACGGCTAGAGAGGATCGAGCTGCCTAGCCCCCTCGCGGAGACTTTGTAAGCTGATACCTGTCCTTCCTCGCGAATGAAGATTCGTCGAGAAGGGGGTACGTTCAACTACGACGGGGTCGGGTAGTACAAGTGATCTGTGATCTGTGAGGGTCGGCCCTCGGCCCGCGGGCAGATTTTGTACCGAGGCGGCACCCCAGGGCGGTGCCCGCAGGTCGTCGAACCTTTCTAAGACAGCATTGTCGAAACAATCATCAATTTGACAAATTGTCCCTGGGCGCGAGAGGGTGGTGGAGAGGCGGTCTGTGGCACTGGTTGGGTAGTAGTCTAAGTTCTGAGCCTCGAGGCTGGACGGGTCTAAGTGTGGCTAGCCACGCTGGAGTGCTTGCGCGGTCTAAGATCAGCGGGAGCCTCTTACATCGGCTAAGTCGGCCGTGGCACGGCCTGGGGCCAGGAGGCTCCCACCGTGATCAACGATACGGCGCAGCCCCCAAATTTTCTTCGCCTGCGGAGGGCGATGGATCCTCTTCATGCTTAGCAATCGCCGCCTCAGCATCCTCCTCTTCCGATTTTCGTTGCTGCTCCTTCATTCTTGAGCGACGTCTAGCCAAACAGTTCTCACATGACACGAAGCTCCTCAAGCTTAATCAAACGCGTGACGGTGAAGCCTGTGTGTGCTGGTCCTCTTTGAACGATCCGCGCGTGAGGTAGCATAGGGCCTTGTTGGCAGCAGCCAGCTTGTTGCGCTGCTTCGTTGCGATGAGCTGATTGGGATCGCAGAAGTGCATGCCAAGCACCGCCACGATCTTGAAGCAGAACACATCGCAACCGCATCGTCCGCACTGCCATCGGCATGCCGCGCCCGCCGCTTCGCCGCAGCCGCCTTAAGGCACGCATAGCGGCAGCACATGGTGGGGGGGGTACTTGAGCAGGCGTTGCGCGCCGCAAGTAGCGCACTGGCCCTGGGAGAAGGCGATATGGCGTCGTGCGCGGCATACGCGGCATACGTTGGTGGGACGCGTCCAGGTATTTTCGGGTAAACCTGGAGGCTTTTCAGGTATACCCGGGTTTTGCCCGGAGTTGGCCTTATGTCGTCTAAGTTCATGGCCCCCGACCATACAGCGTCTAAGTCCGAGCCCGGCTCCGTGTGGGGGCTAAGTTGAGCGCTCGCTCGCTGCAGAGGCTAAGTGTAGAGCGACCCTCTAGCCCTACTACCCAACCATTTCTGTGGCGGCGCGCAAACCGTAACCCACTGGGTGTGCAAGTCCGAAGTCGCCTGCAGAGCAACTGTACGGCAGCGCGTTTTACCTTTTAATGTGTATTGCGCAACTGTACCGGGCAGCGTTATAACCGCGCCATATAAGCTTGTTCGAACTATGTTCGAGCCGGGGCCCGGTCGGCCCCAGCGCCCGGCGGCCCGGGCATCTCTGTCAAGCCACGTATTTGGTCAAATGCGCATGCGGCATGGACGTACACAACCGTATAGCCGACCGCGCGCGTGTGTGTGTGTGTGTGATTGTGTGTCTCGTGTGAGTGTGTGTCTCACTCTCAATCACTCACTCACTCCCACTTGCGCACGCGCTCCTCTTCGTGCACAGCCAGCCGCTCCGCTGCAAGACAGCTCGCGTATTAGGAGTACAGCTCGTGCCATGCTCGCGCTCTCTGATGACCACGAGCCAGCGTCGTGCTCCGTGGCCCCACAGCGCACAAGCCACGCTGCTCACGTCACCTGGCTGGAGCGTCGAGTGCGGCTCCGCTTTGGCGCGGGCTCGGCGCTTCCGCTTGCCTCGCCGCGCTCGCCCGTCGCCGCCACGACCATCGCCGCGATCTGCAAGTCCCTCTCCTCGTACTCCTCGATGCGCCGCTTGAGCGCGCGGTTGGGGAAGAGGGTCCGCTCGAGCGGCTGCCGCGTCAAGGGGCTGAGGCCGTCGCCGCGGAGCACGCGTTCGATGGCGGCGCGCTCGTACGAGTTGCCGTCCGAGGCCACCACCGGGTCTGCGCGCGGCGTGAGGCAGGAAGATAGGCATGGCCAAGACGGGACGGACGGGGAGGAGAGCGAGGGGGCGCGCACCGCGCATCTGCTCGAGCGTCAGCGGGCAGTTGAACTCCTCGGGCGGCGGCAGCGCGCCCAGCCCAAACGACTCGCGCCGCGCGCGCCGCTCCGCCTCGCCGTTGATCTCCGCGACCCGGCCGCGCGCCCGCTCGAGCGCGGCGGCCGCCACCGCCACGGCCGCGGCCTGCTCGATGGCGCGCTCGAGCGCCGCCACGTCGGTGCCCGCCTCCGCCGCCTCCAGCCGGGCGGTGGCCGCGTTGACGAGTGCAGCGTGCAAGTCTTCGAAGGCGGCGGTGTCGGCGTGGGCGCTGGCGACGGCCGACAGCACCGCGTCGAAGTGCTCCATTTCTTTCAACGTGTCCGCCGCAGTCTCCGCCACGCCCGAAGCCGCCCCACCCGCCAGCAGCGCCACGAGCGACGGGATGCCGCCCGCCTCGCGAATGGCGTCTCTGTTGACGTCGCAATCGATTGCCAGGTTCGCCAGCGCACCCACCGCGTTCTCCGCCGCCCCTGACTCTGTCCCGACCGCCAGCAGCGCCACGAGCTGCGGGATTGCACCCGCCTCGCGAATGGCGTCGCAGGTGGCCGTGTTCCCGGATGCCATGTTGCACAGCACACCCGCCGCGTTCTCCGCCGTCTTGGACTCCGCCCCGCCCGCCAGCATCGCCACGAGCGGCGGGATGGCTCCCGCCTCACGGATAGCAGCGTGAGCTCCATCATTTCTCGACAGGCCCAACAGCGCGCCCGCTGCGTTCTCCGCCGTCTTGGACTCCACCCCGCCCGCTAGCAGCGCCACGAGCTGCGGGATGGCTCCCGCCTCGCGGATGGCGTCGCTGTTGACGTCGCAACCGATCACCATGTTCCACAGCGCGGCCGCCGCGTTCTCCGCCGCGCCTGACTCCACCCCGCCCGCCAGCAGCGCCACGAGCGGCGGGATGCCGCCCGCCTCGCGGATCGCTTCTTTGTTGGCCGACGTGGCCGCCACATTAAACAGCGCGCCCGCCGCATCCTCCGCGGCCACTGACTCCGCCCCGCCCGCAAGCAGCGCCACGAGCGGTGGGATGCCACCCGCCTCACGGATGATGTTGTGACTGTTTTCGGCTACTCCAGCTGGTTCAGAGAGGTAAGAGAGGGCGCTCGCCGCCGCCGCCGCCGTGGCCGGCGCTGCCAACGGGGATATCAGACTAGCGATGGCCTGCGGCCACGCCTCGCTGCTCGCGTACGTCTCGGCGAGGGCGCCCAGCTCCTCCACCGTCTGATTGAGCCGGCTGAGCGCGGCGGCCACTGGATCCGCCATGTACGTAAGAACACCACGAGCGCCTCCGCCGCCCAACCCAGCTGGCCCAACCTCTCCGGGGGGACGATGCGCGCGAATCCGCTGCGCGATTTCTTCTTGTCAGTGGTCTTTCGGAGGCTTTTTATTTTGCCATGTGGGAGGGGCAGCGTTGCGTTTTTTCTCACACCACGTGCCTCTGCACGTCCGTTCTTGAAAAAGTTTTATCCATAACGGTGTGGGGGCGCGGAGGGCTTGTTGGCGAGCCAAAATGGTGTTTTCCGAGGCGCTGCGCTAGGCTCAGAGCGAGTTCGCGCTGCGCTAGGCTCAGACGGCGAGTTCGCGCTGCGCTAGGCTCATACATGGCGAGTGCGCTGCGATAGATTTGCTCTGCGATGAAAAGACCCGTATACCGAGAACCCAAGGGAGTCACCGCGTTTTCTTCTTGCGTCCAACTCCGGCAGTTGGTCCAGCTATGGCAGCCTCCAGCGACCTGCAGACTCTGCAGCTTGAGAATCGGAACCTGCAGCAAAAGCTCGACTGGAAGCAGCTCAAGATCAACCAGCTCGAGACGAAAGTTCGCGATCTCCGCGGCGGCGGCCTCGCCGCCGACCTCGGGCGCCTCGAGCGGTCCATCGGCCGCCTCTCGCTGCAGATGGAGCACGTCCAGCTCGTCATCAAGAGACCGGAGTGGTCATTTCACACCTTTGCGATGCCGGAGACCACCGCCTCATCGGCGCACACCATCTTCGTCCGCCCACCCAGCGGGGACAGGATCGAGGTTTAGGCTGTATAAGGTTTTCCTCTCGCACCCCGTCTGTTTTCCTTTCCTTTTTTCTCTACAACACCCTCTCTTTCCCTCTCTCTTTTCCCGGGAAAACTCCGTGGAAATCGTCAAATTTTGGGCTCTGAGCCGAGTCGAGGCTGGTTTGGGCCCAAAATCAGCCAAATTTTAGGCCAAATCGGCAAAATGCCGGGAATTTTGCGGAGAACCCGTGCATACCTGGAATTTACCCTGCGACCGCCTGGGTATTTTGTCGATTTCCTCAATTTTGCCTTAGATTTTGCCCCAGACCAGCTCTCAGACTCAGGGAAAACAGCGAGTTTCCAGAATGGAGCACCAAACACCCTCTGTTTTCCCTGGAAATTTCCGGAAACGCAAAGTGCTGGGGACCCTCTGTTTTCCTTTTTGTTTTCCGGAAAACCTTATACAGGCCAAATCGAGGTGACCATTCCGCCGGGGAAGCAGCCGGGCGAGCTCTTTACCGTGATGCTCAAGGACGAGGACGCGTACCCCACGGACTGGCCGTGGTTCGCGGCGCCGCCCGCGGCGCCCGCGCACTCCGCGCCGCCGCCGTGGGCGGCGGAACAGCAGCAGCAGCAGCAGCAGCAGCAGGAGAACGCAAACCCAGAGAGCGCAGAAGACCGAGACGCGCGCGTGAGGCAGCGGAGGGCAGAGCAGCGGCGTGCATCCCGTGCCGCAGAGACCCTGCGGCGAGGCGGCGAACCAGGAAGCCACGCCAACCGCTATGGCCAGGGCGACGGCTCCTCTTCCCCCACGCACGAGCGGGGGGAGTGAGCTCCCGCAGCAAAACTGGCCCCAGGAATTCTGGCTCGGGGGTATACCGGAACTGATCGTGAAATCTCCCAATACGAAGTGGTTTCGTCACACAGCATGCGCTTAGACGTCCCTGTCAAGTTACTCAAAATGAGGCGCACGCAGGCGCCTCTTTTTGCTCGCCAGCCTCCGCTCAACGGCCGTCGCGCCTCGTCGTCCTACCTTGCCGTCGCTGGGCGACTCGGAGCGCGATCGCCGCTCACGGTCCCAGCCCCGGCCGGCGCTGCCCTGGCTCCGCGGCGGTCGCGCTCGAACTTCCTCCCTACCAGCCGGTCGGCGCCCCGAGAGCCCGCACCTGAGAGCTCGCTGCTCGGGCGGAGCAGACCTCGAGCGAGCGCGAGGCGGCCATCGAGGCGGAGCATGTGCGGCCGCGCGTGTACGCCGCGTACACGCGCGGCCGCACGTGCGCTGATCGGTGCGGGAAGTCGGCTGGCTGCCTGGCCGGCTCGGCCGTTTAAATTCCTCTCGCACTCGGCGGCTGCCAAGCGAGCTCAAAGTGCAGATTGGCACGTCGCTCGTGGCCGGAGCGCGTCGCCACGGAGGCGCAGTTGGCCACCGGCGCGAGCTCAGCGACCCAGACATTCGCGCTCGGCTAGCAGGCGCCGCTCTGCGAGCGCGAGCGCGCTAACTCCCATTGCGCGGAGATACACACGAGAACCGAAATCGAGACCTGAAATGACGTACGTTCTAGGACGGCCGACTATGAAAATGAAACCTATTCAGATCAACGATAGTTTTGCTGCGGCCCGCCGCGCGCGCCTGTGCGCCACGCTGCAGGTGCAGCGCTCGGCGCTGCCGGCCCGCCGCGCGCCACCCGGTTGGAGACTCTGGGCCGGCGCGGGGGCCCCAGAGGGTGTCCATGCGGGGGGGAGATGGGGTCCCATGGCCCGCCGCAGGCGCCGATTTTTTGGAGTTTTTTTCTTTTTTCGCGATTTTTTACTTGTTTTCATGGGAATTCGGCGTACTTGCGGCCATGCTATCACGCCTTGCGACAGCCTGTCGGCGCAGCTGACCGTGCCATGATGCACAATTGATCACCTGCATAGCTCGCGGCCTTTGTATCAAGCATTCAGTGATGACGTGATCGTACGGCCAGTAGGAAGGTGTCCTTCCAGCTGCGTGCACGCTTCTGGCGCAATGCGCGTCACCTCGGATTGGCTGCTGGCACTCTCGAGGCTATGCCTACACAGCCTCGCGCGCATGGGCAGTCAAGAGGGACCACGCACCTTCTCAGGACAGCGCCGGCGCCTCTCTCTTGGACCGGCAAACTTGGTGGTCTCGTGTCACCAATGTGGGACCAGTGCGGCATCGCGCCATCGACAGCTCTGAACTGCGCCTCACCACTGACCGGGAAGGCCGCCAAGTGGGCCAGCACAGGTCGCACATTGTGGCAGCAGTCAGCAGTGCATGGCTGATAGCTAGAGCAGCAGCGTCAGGGTCGCAGGGTCGGATCGTGTCAAGCCTCTCGCCCGGCCGGCCGCGTGCAGACGTCGGCCTGTCTGCTGTCTGGAGTGATCTGTCGGCGGTCAGTACGACCGATCAGGTCGGAGTTTTCTGATGGTTGGAGGGTCTATCTGTATGTACTCCTCGAGATCTCTCCAAATCTGCCCTCTGATCAACCGTGATCATTCGGGAAGTCGGTGCTCATAGAGACTCATAGAGCCGGAGCCCCGTTTCCGCACTGCTGCGCGGCGCACGGTGCCTCCGGGGGGGCCCGCGCCGGCCCAGAGGTTGGAGAGCATGTGTTTGAGTATTTTACAACAAGAAAACACGCGCTCTCTCGCCGCACCATCTCTCGGGTCTCTCCACTCTCGCGCGCTTGCTGGGTTGCTCTCTCACCTCTGGACCTCTCTCGCTGTCTCTCTCCGCACCGTGTGCGGCTCCCGCACACACGCCACGGCTCACGCTCTCCAGTGATAACAGTGGCAGCGGCGCAGCGCGCGCGCGGCGCGCGCGACGGAGGGGCGGAGCAGCGACCGCTGGCGCGGTGTCGCTGCTCCGTCTGTCAGCCAGAGACGCGCGCTCTGCCGCTCCACGCCCGGCTGCTCCCTTGCCCCGTCACCCGCCGCGCCCTCGCCCGGCCGCCTCACCGCGCACGGAGCGCTCGGCTGCTCGCCGCCGCCGCCGCGCGTCCCGCGCCGCCACGCTTGCCCCCACCTTGCCTGACGCGCGAGGAGAGGTAGGAGGTGCTTGCCGCGGCCGGCGAGCACTCCCGCGCGTGCGGAGGGGCAAGGCCTGAGGGCGGGCGGGCGGGCGGGCGGCCGGGCGCGGGTGGGGGGGATAAACGCTGCGCCGCCCCCGCACCAGCGACACTGGCCGCGGCTCGCCGCCACGCGCCGGCTCGGAAGAGGGGCTGTCGGCGGCAAACCAAAGCGGCACTTCTCACCGCTCGAGCCGCCGACAGCCCCCCTCTTCGACGTGACGGCCGCTCCCGGGGCCGGCCGATGCGCGCCCGACCCACGCCCCCTCTCGCACCCCCCCAACCCCCCTTGCGCGGCGCACCCGTCCGCTGTGCGCCGGCTCGAGCGCCTATTGCCAAATCGCGACGTTTGAGCGCAGCGCAGGCATCAGGAGCCGGCGGAATCTTGCCGGAATGTGGCCGCAGCACTAGCCTCCGGCGGGCCTCCGGCGGACGCCTGGCGGCGTGGCGCTGCGCGCCGGCCTGCGGCCTCTGGAGAGTGTGTCACACTCTGTCACCTCGCCGCGAAGTGTGTCACCATAACAGGTAGCTCTTTGTGTTGCGATGCTTCCTGGCGAGAGAGTGCTGGGCTTTCCGGCCCACACTGTTAGGCTGTATAAGGTTTTCCTCTCGCACCCCGTCTGTTTTCCTTTCCTTTTTTCTCTACAACACCCTCTCTTTTCCTCTCTCTTTTCCCGGGAAAACTCCGTGGAAATCGTCAAATTTTGGGCTCTGAGCCGAGTCGAGGCTGGTTTGGGCCCAAAATCAGCCAAATTTTAGGCCAAATCGGCAAAATGCCGGGAATTTTGCGGAGAACGCGTGCATACCTGGAATTTACCCTGCGACCGCCTGGGTATTTTGTCGATTTCCTCAATTTTGCCTTAGATTTTGCCCCAGACCAGCTCTCAGACTCAGGGAAAACAGCGAGGTTCCAGAATGGAGCACCAAACACCCTCTGTTTTCCCTGGAAATTTCCGGAAACGCAAAGTGCTGGGGACCCTCTGTTTTCCTTTTTGTTTTCCGGAAAACCTTATACAGGCCAAAGCCGGGGGGCCCCGCCGGAGGCTGGTTACTGATCGACTTTTTCGGCGGCCGCCGCCGCCGCCTCCGGTGGTGTTAGGCTGTATAAGGTTTTCCTCTCGCACCCCGTCTGTTTTCCTTTCCTTTTTTCTCTACAACACCCTCTCTTTTCCTCTCTCTTTTCCCGGGAAAACTCCGTGGAAATCGTCAAATTTTGGGCTCTGAGCCGAGTCGAGGCTGGTTTGGGCCCAAAATCAGCCAAATTTTAGGCCAAATCGGCAAAATGCCGGGAATTTTGCGGAGAACGCGTGCATACCTGGAATTTACCCTGCGACCGCCTGGGTATTTTGTCGATTTCCTCAATTTTGCCTTAGATTTTGCCCCAGACCAGCTCTCAGACTCAGGGAAAACAGCGAGGTTCCAGAATGGAGCACCAAACACCCTCTGTTTTCCCTGGAAATTTCCGGAAACGCAAAGTGCTGGGGACCCTCTGTTTTCCTTTTTGTTTTCCGGAAAACCTTATACAGGCCAACGGTGGTGACGACACCTCCACAGCCTCCTTCTCCCGAGGCGCTGGGCGAGCGTCCATCCACCACTTTTTGGCTAGAGCCATCTGAATGGGCGGCAGCTCCTTGCCGATGGCCTGGGCAAACGTGTCCGCGTACACCCCGAAGAGGTCCTCATCACCGAGGCTCGACCACACCTCGTCCGCAGTCACGTACTTCGCCAACAGCTCGGCCGAGGCAGTGATCTCGTCCTCCTTGAGCGGCAAGCGTCGCCCGGCCCGCTCCGATTTGAGCACCTCGGTGATGTCCTCTGCTCTCGTCCCCGCAGCCACTCCGCCCTCGGCCTCGCCGAGGGCCATGACCAACGCGCAACGAGAGAGACCCCTGTCTCTCTCCAACAGCTCGGCTGCGCACATTTTGATGCAGCAGAAGAACTGGAGGTGGGCATGCCGTCCTCCCAGCGGCCCTCCTTCACGTCGGCGCTCGCTGCGGGCGTGCTTGCTTCGGCGGTTCTGGGCGACTCGAACTACCCGGTGCACGCGCCGTGCGACGCACCCTCGTCGCTGGACGAGATTGCGCCAATGCTGACGCCTGCCAATGTGTCGGTACCCGTCACGGGCCGCCACACTATTGTTGGCATGTGCTCGCCTGAGTCGAAGGACTTTGAGATCATTTGCGGCATTCATCAAACCAACGTCGAACGGTACGTCCAGGCGCATCCCGGCTACGGCTTCTCCTTCTTTAACTCGCTGCCCTCCACTGCCGGCAACCGTGACAAGACGTGGTACAAGATCCCAGCACTCTACAAGGTGCTGCGCTCTCCGGGCGTCGAGTTCGCCTTCTGGATGGACTCGGACTCGCTCTTCATGAATCTCCACAAGCCGCTGCCCGAGCCTTCCCCCGGGAAATTCTTCGCCGTCTCAACGCACAACCTCCCGAAGGTGCGCCCACACCTGACGTGCCTGGGACACCCAGCTCACCCTGCCCCGCTCAAGGGTGGCCAGCGCCGCGCGTCACATGCTGCCGAGTGCCCCCCCGCAGAGTGTGACCCCCGACTACATGAACGCGGGGCACCTCTCGCTCCGCCGCGGGAACTGGACGTACGAGTTCCTGCAGACTGTTTGGTCCACGTGCCCGAGCCCTTGGACAATTACAGATGGTGGCCATACGTACAACAACGAGAGCCAGAGGGACGCGCACAAGGCGAGTCGCGCGATAGAGGGCTCGCAAGCCGAGAGTTCATCACTCGTGCAGCTCCGAGCTCCGTCGACGGTGGCGCGCGCCTCGTCGCAGGTGGACCACGAGGAGCAGTCGGCGATTATCTTTGTGCTGGGAGGCTCGAAGGACGAGTGCCGCGATTCGATGGGAGGCAATGCGACGCTCGACCAAGAATGCCTGCTGCTGCACTCGACCGCGACGTACGACATATTTCCCGCATCGGTGATGAATGAAAATTTGCCTGATTTCAAGGCGGGCGACCTTGTGCTCCATCTGTGGGGCTGGCAGTGCGGCTGGTTGATCTACGCGTTCATTGAAACGTCGTGGAACATCACTTTTGGCAGCGGCGTCTACAACGAGTCGAAACGCAATATAATAATTAACGATGCCATCGAAGGCAGCAACGACAACAACACGAATTCGAGCGCGACAAACGAGATTGTGCGCCTCTGCGCCCAATCTCTCAACCTTCAACCCCGATTCCTGCCCCGCGCCGACACGCACAAACCACCAACTACACGCACGCACATTCCATCTACCCGCCCCAGCGACTGCCGCCTGCCCGTTCCGACTCGGTTGCGCTGCTCGCCATGGAGCAGATGAACAAATATTGCATACTGCAAGACCACGAGAAGGCGTACATCATGCTCGTGCTCGACGCGCAGCTCGGCACTCGTGCCATTGCCGCGGCTTTACCGCCTAAGGCGGCGCGGCACGGCAAAGGTCGGCGGTAAGGCGGCGCGGCGGCAACAGACGGCAGGCAGGGCATCGGACGGCGGGACAAACGGCACGGGGCGTGGCAGTGTAGGAGCGGCGGTACGGCGGCACGGCGGTAACGGACGGCAGGGGGGGCGGCATGACGATCGGCCGTCGATCCCCGAGGCACGAGGGTCGTCGGTTGAGCTACTCCCTTAGTGTAGGTAAACCATAAAAGTAGATTTGAATTCGTCCACGTAAGGCTTCGTGAGTGGTTGGGGTGGCCTCAAGCATCCCCAAGGGAGCCTCTGCGGTGCCACATAAGCAGCTTGGTGATTGTCGAGACTTTGAAGGATTCGTTTGAAGAAACGCAAACAGGCCAGACACTACTATGGTCACCAGTAAACCATAATTCGACTTTGAGGGATCATATCTCAAAAAGCCGGGAGATAACAGAGCATTATTGTTGCATATTATACCACATAAGGTCAAACTTGACCCCACAAGCATCAAGAACCCGATGCTCCGGCTCGACTGTGCCGGCACACTGCCTCCTCACGCCTGCTGCCAGCAGCCGTCGCGGCCCGTGGTGCACCAGAGAGAGAGGTCGACGCGTTGCCCCCGCCGGCGACCCCGCGCGGCTCAGGCCGGCCAGAAGGTGTCTGGTGACGGCGCCGTGGCAGGAGTGCGGAGAAGAGCTCGCCGAACGCGAGCAGAAGATGTCCAAAGTGTGCCAGCGCGAGAGCCTCGCGAGCGGGCGCAGAAGGAGCTCGCCGTGACACGATGCCGGGCGGTGGTGGTGCTCTGGCGACTGTGCACAGTGGGAAAAGTCAGGCTGCAACAGGGCAGCACGATGGTAGTGCCCTGCTGCAGCCTGGCCTGACATGCACAGGGCGAACAGAGACACTACTATCGTCCGGCGCTCGTCGTCGAATCTGGGCCAACTTCGACCGCCGCCACAGCTCGCCACGAGCACGCAGCGACAAAATGTTGACTGTACGGAAGTTGAGGCTGGTCGAGAGGAAGAGGCTGCCGTGCGAGCCGGCAGCAGGCTGGCTCGTCGTGGACTGCAGCGGCGACTTTTATGGGTTTCTCTGTTCATAGTAGCGTGCACGCTACTATGGTTTACCCACATTAAGGGAGTAGGGAGCCTGGCGATGGACGCCACCGCGACCCCTCGTGGCATCTCTCTCGCCGTCGGCGAGCTAGGGGCTCACGGACGGCCGACTTTTTATATGACCAGTAGGACAGCCGTGAGTGTGAATCGGATAAGGAGTTTGCGTCCGTCCACCGTCTTCGTGGACGTCTGTCCTCGTGACACCCACACCCCACACGGCCTGTCTTGCTTCCCCACCCACCCTCCCTAATTTGTGCGCTGTCGCGTTTTGGGGTTGGTCCTGCAACGGTGTCTCGTGCGGAGCAATGGTGTGCTGTCGCGCGAGGGTTGCAGGCGTGGCAGTATGGAAGATACAAAGAGACGGAGGAGCAACGAGCGCCCTGGCGTGAGCCAAAGACACTCCCAAGTGCGCTCCGTCACCGGTGTCGCGGTCTCCCCCACTGAGGACGATCTGCCATCTGCGGGGGGGAGTCGCGCCGCCGGCATGTATCTGTGCAACTGTGTTTTGCCTTGTCCCGTTTGATGGAGCAAAGCCACGGGCCGCCCGCGCTTGAAGGCGGTCGCGCCAGGCGCGGGCGGCACTAGTTGCCGGCGATCCGCTTGGGCAGCGCCCGCGCTTGCCTCTGACTAGGTCTCCATAGGTCGCGTGGCCCGATGCTCGAATTGAACGTCTCGCAAGCTGGCGTCGCTCGCGTAACACTCGAGTGCTTCGCCGCGCGCTGGTTCGAATTTCTGGGTCTCGGTTCACGGATGGTTCGCGAACTGTGGTTCGCGAACTGTGTCGGTGTGTAAGAGGTGTGAAAATAAGCTTGGTTCATGAACTAGTTCAGTGGTTCACCCTCGAACCGACCGTGAACTCTGAACCGTGAACCCGAACCGAGGCAGGACAAAAGGGCGAACCGCGAACCGTGAACGAACCAGGCGGGGCAGCGTCGGGCCGAACCGTGAACCGTGAACCGACTAGCCCCCGCCCCGAGTCCGTGAACCGCGAACCGTGAACTAACCGTGAACCGCGAACTGGTTCACGAACCGGGTTCACGGTTCACCTCGTGAACTGAGAGGGCTGCCCTCGGTCAGCGATTCCGCCGCGAGATGTGCGACCTCCATATGACCGAGAGTGGTGTGGATGGCAAGTAGATCTAAAGCCGTCCGGACTTCGCGCGACATCTCTCGAGGTCTCGGGGGGGAAAGCCGCACCCCCCTCCATGCTCGCGCTCCTGCCGGCCTAGCATGCTCGCGCTCCTGCCGGCCTATTCCGCCCAGATCTTCGCCAGCGCGGCCAACGATCCCGGCCTCAAGGACGTCTTCGCTTCCAAGGGCGAGGGCTTTGGCCCAAAGCGACTGCGGCTCGGCAATACGTCGATGAAGAACGCCAAATACAAGAAGAACGAAGGCGAAGTCCCGACCTGGATCGACGGCGTGCCATTGTCACGGACCGCTGCTCCGCCGCATCAAGGATCGGACAGTGCAGCTCTCTCTCTATAGGCAAGCCTCCGTTCGAGCCGCTGATGGAAGTCTCGGCCGACTGGGCTCTGGCGGACCAGACCCGAACCTTCTGCCTCCTCGTGCTGGACATGGAGAATGACTACCTCCCGTGCGCAGCCCGCACTGACGCCCGCACCTTCGCTCGTCTCACTCGCTCTACCCTCTGCGGAGCCTCGCACACAGCCGCGCAGCGCCGCTGCCAGCTGAGCTCCCTCCGCCTGCCCCGCAGGTATATGACTTTTATGATGCCGAACGCCGAGGCGGTGCTCGCCGCCTTCCGCAAGGCGCAGCAGCCGGTCGTGTGGACCAACTGGTACCGGCAGGAGGATGACGGCGCGTACGGTGCGTGTGCTCGCCCGCTTCCGTGGGTCCGAGGGCGCCTCCCTGACGCGTCCACGACGCGCCCGCAGGAGCCATCGACCGCTTCTGGGGCCCTCGCGGCCTGTACCCGCCGGGAGGCACCGTCAAAGGGCACGCCGAGAACCCGATGTGGATCGACACGAGGTACGGCAAGAACGCGACCGACACGGCGGGCTGCGCGGCGGAGGGTGGTCCGTACACGCACAAGAGCAGCGCGGCCGGAGCCGAGGGCTGGCGTGTTAGGTGCCAGCGATGGGACCGATCACGGAGGACGAGAAGTCGCTCGTCATCAAGTCGATGTGAGATGAGCCGAGATCAGCCGAGATCAGCCGAGACCGGTCCATTTGGCGCAGACCCGACCGCTGGCATGTTGCGACTCACGCAGCGGACGGCACTCTCCACGAAGTGTCTGCGAAAGGAGTTCGGCCGTCCCTCCTTCCCTCCGACCATGCCGCCCTCCCCGCCGCAGGCACCTCTCCAAGATGGCCGACAAGGACGAGCACGGAGACGACATCCTCTACCCGATGCTGCAGGCGTGGGGCGTCGACACTATCGTTATCGTCGGCGCGTGGACCGAAGACTGCGTCATCGCGACCTGCTACGAGGCGGCAGACCGCTATGGTCTCGACGTCGTCCTCGTCACCGACGCCATTGCAACGGGCTCGCCGGTGCACCAAAAGGCGATGGACACGATGCAGGCGGGGCGGCCGCCGAGATGGAGCCGTCGCCCATTTTTTGCAGCCGATGGCAGCGCCGAGTTGCGGCAGCCGTGCCCCTCCTCACCAGTGCCTCCCTCCCTGCCCAGGCGGCCTGCGGCAAGACGCTGATGGCGGAGGAGCTGGTGCAATACTTCGCGAGCCACCGGCACAAGCTCGGCCCCGCGCAAGCCGAGCTCAACTATGGCGCCGTTCAGCTGCGCCGCCGCGCCGCCCTGCTGAGCGCCGCGCAGGCCGAGGCGCGCGGTCGCGAGGGCATCTCGGTGGCGGTCGCCGCGGTGATCGCGCTGATGGCGGCCGCGGTCGGCGCAGCGATCGCCGTCCGCGTCTTCGTTCGTCACCCACTCTCCCACAGCTACGAGAAAAGCCCCGTGCCATTCACCTAACTAAAGGTTAACGCAAGTGCTCGCACTGGCGTGAATTTTGATTGGAGCGCTCGTAGGATCGTCCCGATGCAGAGAAAGAGTTCAGGGAAATGAAAAGGTATAGGTACGGCGAACGGCGTGTGCGTGTCGACCGTTCTAGTCACCTCTATTTTTACGATTACCTGTGTGACCCCCCTCTTTCGAGAGAGAGAGGCGCGCGACCCGTTGCGGTTCCGCGCCTGTCCGCCTTACCGCCTAACTTATGGCCTAACTCCAGTCTCCACCCGTTGATCCCTCACACCAAGATCGTGCAGGGCGGGGACACAACATGTACATGTGCATGCACATGTGCAGCACATGCACATGCACATGTGCGACGGTGTATCAGTCGCCTTATGTCACCGTTGCTTGTTCGGATAAGCAACGATGGCATAAGGCGACTGATACACCGACGAACTCGAACTGCAGTCTATGGGTCGTGCGGAGATGCATGTCCGGTTTGGGTACCGGCGGATAGCAGGTGAACGCTAAGGTGGGTTTCGAACCAGTGACAACGCCCGTCTGGGTGTTATGCGCCGAGTCGAACTGCGGGATTAGAACTCGAGACCCAATGCAGTTTTGCGACGGGGTGAGGTGACACCGGAGCGAGTGACGGGTAATCGTGGCCGTGGCCAAGAAAATCAAAATATTAAGCTCTCTATTTGGACCACGGCGAAAAACTCGACGGTTTTGGGCGTTTCAGAGCACGCTGAATCGATTGGCTGAGCTATAATTCTCGCCAGCCCTTTCCTTTCATAATTATTGACTCAAAACTCGATGATCGCGCGACTTTGGAGCCGTTATAGCTCAGCCAAAACGTTCCTCTCGAAAAGTTGACTTAGGAAGCCGCAAACGGCAGCTTCTCAAAGCCTCACCCGCGCTTATTCTCTTGATCTTTCAAAACCTAGGCCTGCGGCCAAAATTTTCTAAAGGCCGCTGCGCGGCCAGCGCGATGCGCAACCAGTCAGCGACCGACAGTCAGCAGCAGACTGTGACGATTGGCGGCCTCGCGCCCTCAGTCAACCTCCTCTACCAACTCCCCTGCCCAGCCCATATGCCTCATCCACGGTGGCGCAACCACTCGCGCAGGGAGAGAGAGAAAGTCGGCGATCTGCGCCATGCAGATGAGCTCAGCCTCGTCTGCGTCGAGGACGCCCATCTCAGGGCTGTCATAGCGCCATTGCATATGACGTACTGCATGTTGTTCATTACTTCGCAGGTGCCAAAGTCGAGGATAATCTCACTCAGCGATGGCGAAGGCTGCACTCCCGGCCGGCGGTAGGAGGGATGAAGGCTAATGTACTTCGCAGTGTACGGTGCCTTCCGGCGCGAACAGTGCCCGGGACGAAAGAGGAGGCGACGTCTCCCTCGTCCATGGACGGTGTAGCCAGCTTGAGAGACGGGAACGAGCGGCGGTGAATCGCCGACAGCGGCGCCTTCGTTCCTTTCCAGTGAATCGCCGGCGGGTGCCCTGAGCGTTGTATCTGTCGGCCAGTTGCCGCACCGCCGGCAGCAGCTCCGCAGCAGCCGCCCACCTCACCTCACTTGCCAACAACATACCTAAAACCTCACTGGCCGCAGCATGCGAGGGGCCGAGCTGTAAGGGTTTGGACCATCCGCGTGTTATTCAAAGCAAGAAGACGCACAAACTGCGGAAATTCGCACTCACCCCCCACTGTCGCCAGACTGTGAGAGGCTATAGGGGAGGAGGGTGGGAGACCATAGCTCCCGCGAGCCGCGTTCCCGTCGGGCTCCATGTCGCGGAGGAGGGTTTTTGGACAGTCCTCCGCGGTGACTTGGGGCGATTGGAGCCGCAAATGGAGCTCGCAATCAAAGAAGAAAACAGTACCTCGCCCGCCCATCGCCACGTGTACGGCGCCCCCCTCGGATATCCCCACAGTCCCTCCACGGCTTTGTTGTGCTGCTTTGAAGCTGGACCTGCCATGAAGTTCGTGTCCGTGCTCGGCGGCGCCGAGCCCGCCTCCTTCTCTGAGGCGGTGCTCAATGGCTGGGCGCCCGACGGCGTCGCCAGCGGCACGCGCGGGGACTCATCCACGCGCTCACTCCGGAACGCCGACTCGTGGCACGATAGGCGGCATGTACTGGCCGGCGGCTGTCGAACCGGTCTCGCCGAGGACACTCTCTGCGTGGGAATCGCTGTCCTACCCGCGGCTGTGTGAGGAGGTGCTCAAGCGCTTCATCGCTGCCGACGACCCCGACGTCACTCCGCTCGACCTGGCCGGCATTGTCTCGGCCGCGTTTTCCTCGTTTGGCGACGCGGAGGTGGTCTCGCTCCGGCCGCTCTCGGACGAGCTGCACGTGGCCGAACTGTGGCACGGCCCGACGCTCGCCTTCAAGGACCTCGGCATGTCCGTCCTCGGGCGCACGCTCAGCCACCTGCTGCGGCGGCGGCGCCAGCGGCTCACGCTGCTGGTGGGCACCTCCGGCGACACCGGCTCGTCGGCGATGGAGGCGGTGCGCGGCCTCGAGGGGATCGAGATCCTCGTGCTCTACCCGCTGCAGGGGTGCCCGTCCACCTCGCCCGCGCTGCAATCTATGCAATCTCATGCAATCTCGCGCAATCTCGCGCAATCTCGTGTAGGTGCTCGTCCATCTCGCCCGTGCAGGAGCTGCAGATGACGTCTGTTGCCCGGGCAGCGAGCAACGTGCACCTGATCGGCGTGGAGGGGAGCAGCGACGACCTCGACGTGCCGCTCGAGCGCGCCTTTCCCTTCGCCACGGCCTGATGAGTTGTTTGTCACGAGGTGGTGAGGAGTTGAGTGTTCGTTAGGCGCGCCTTTCGCGACGCCGCGTTCAAGCGGGCCCACAGGCTCGGCTCGGTCAACTCGGTCAACGTCGTGCGGCTTCTCGTGCAGGTCGTGCAATCTCGGGCGCATCTCGGACAATCTCGGGCGCATCTCGGGCGCATCTCGGGCGCATCTCGGGCGCATCTCGGGCGCATCTCGGGCGCATCTCGTGCAGGTGGTGCACTACTTCTACGCCTACCTCCGCCTGCCGGAGGGCTCGATACCACACCACCCACGGGACCGAACCCACCCTGGATTCGAGACTATGGAGGTATGGGAGTAGGCGACCTCCGCCCGCCGGAGGGCTCGAGCGAGCGCCGCGCGCGCGTCGCCGTGCCGTGCGGCGCAGGTGGGCTCGTTGCCGCGGGTCGGGGTGATCTCGGGTGATCTCGGGTGATCTCGGGTGATCTCGGGTGATCTCGGGGTGATCTCGGGGTGATCTCGGGGTGATCTCGGGGTGATCTCGTGTGATCTCGTGTGATCCCGGCTGTGATCTCGGCTGTGATCTCGGCAGGTGGACACCTTGCCGCGGGCCTTCTCGCGCAGCAGATGGGGCTTCCAATCACGCTGCTCGCCGCCACGAACGCAAACGACGCGCTGCACCGGCTCCTCGCCACGGGCGAGCTGCGGGCGCACGGCACAGTCTCACAGACCGCGTCGCCCTCGATGGACATCCAGGCGCGAGATCACCCGAGATCACCCGAGATCACCCGAGATCACCCGAGAGTGCGCAGTCCGCCCTCGAGGGACATCCAGGCGCCGCACAACGTATGGCGCCACGTTCTCGCCACACTTCGCCATATCTCTAGGTGCCGTACGAGACTGTCCGAGATTGTCCGAGATTAGGTGCCGTACAACGTGTGGCGCCTGCTGTTTGTGGCGAGCGGCGGCGACGCCGCGGCGGTCCGCGGCTGGCAGGCGCACACACCGCCGTCCGTTGAACTCTCACTCTCTCTGCCAGATCAACGTGTGCCCACACACCGCCGTCCTTTAACTCTCACGCAAAAGCACAACCCCGCGCCCAGATCGCGCGCACGGACAGTCGAAGAACGGACAGGCAGACAGAGGTCGACTAGTCAGACAGGCAACGCCGAGTCCCACGGCCAGGCCAGCGCGATGCCCGCCTCTCACTCTCTGTAAAGTAGACAACGGGGGCGGGGGCACGCACACTGCAGCACACTCAGGGCGAGGGACTCCAGCACAACTCCACGCCGCCAGTCTAGCACGCACGCACGCACGCAAGACGGCCGAAAGACTGTTCAATCTCTGCCAGATCAACGTGTGCCGTTGGGAAGGCCACTGAGACCACATGATGCCCGTGGTGCCGATCCAAGTCCACTCTCGCCACATCTCGCCACATCTCGCCACATCTCGCCACATCTCGCCACATCTCGCCACATCTCGCCACAGCTCGCCACATCTCGCCACATCTCGCCACATCTCGCCACGTCTCCAGGTCAGCACCCACGCGAGGCCTAAGCCCACTCTCAGTACACCGGCATGTCGCACCGCGCGCTGGCGCGGCCAGGGCATGTCCACGACACGTCCATGCCGCGTCCCGTCTCAGGCGGATTTTGGTGCGGGCGGGCTGACGCTGCCGCCGCGCGTGCGCGAGTG